GCCGCGGGTTCGCGCTCGCCCCGTGCCCGCCTCCCGCAGGAGCGGGACAAGGGACAAGGGACAAGGGACAAGGGACAAGGGACAAGGAACAAGGGACAAGGGACAAGGGACAAGGGACAAGGGACAAGGGACAAGGGACAAGGGACAAGACTCGCCCGCAGGGGCTCCAGGGACGGGCGGCCGCGGCCAGGCAGGAGCCTTGACCCTCTCGCCCGGGCAACCTTGGCAACCTGAGCTGCGGGCGCCCTTGACCTTCACAGACACCTGCCCGTTATGTTTCTCTGTGACAGTGGCGAGGGCACTGTGTGCTCATACACGACATCATTTCGTTACTGTCCATACCAGTGCTCAGCAATGTTATTCTTATCCTCACAGCCCCTTCTGAAGCGTCTCACGCCTCTTGCCAGCGTCACACGGCACTGCGGGAGCGGCGTTCCAGCCACCGCCGCGCATGACGGTGCTCGCAGGGACTTTGTCATTCCTTAAGCACCGTGAGGAATGTGTCTTGGCTTTGGGAAAATTCGGTGAACGGGACCGGGAGGTAACAGACTGGGGAGTTCGGGCGCATATCGGTGCTTCTCCCTTAGGAGATTACCAGTAGCCCCTTCTCCATACCTAGGCATGTTGGAGGTAAATGACAGTGTCACACGGGAGTGATCCTTCACAGACACTGAAGACAGGGATGGGAGAGAGTGGCAAAGTCACTTTTTCAGTTTAGTTGCTTTCCTGAATTGGAGTTTTACCATTAGAGCAGTTTGATTGCTTCAGTTGCAAAGGCCAGTACTTTAGACAGAAAAAGTGCATCTACAGTGACTAATATCAATCAGATTGTGCTGATTTACATTAACTGGGTACTTGGCATGCATTTCCTTTGTCTTTGCCACAATAATACTACACTAATTTTCTCTTATTTATGGGCAGCGTAAGGATATATTTCATTTCTTCCTATGATCATTAACACATTAATTTATTCAATTATGTAACTATATTTTTCACCTCAAATTGAGATCGATTACTTAAGAATGTATTAATAACATTCAAAGGCAAAAGAGTGACAGAAGTGTGAACACTAATTTTCAGGAAAATTAGTTTGTACTTCGGAAATTCAGGCCCCTGCTCCCAAAATAGTGTGTGTACTCATTATAAAGTTGCAATGTTAATGTGTGGTTTCTTTTCCATTAACATAAAAATCACAGTCTCCTGGGCCAAAATGATCTGAGGCTTTTGCATTGATTAATGAACATATATGTTTTTCCAGGAAGGTCTGTGGGCTCAACACCATGCATGCACCGCGGGATCAGGGAGTAAGTGCCTCTCCTCTAACAGGCAATAAGTGGATTGATGGAGTAAGCCATTTTATAAAGATAGAAAAAAAAAAAAATCATAGCTAAGCTGATCACTAGCAAGCTGCTTCCAGACCTCCCTGGGAATTAAAGTAGATGAGCTATGCACCTTTGAAAAATTAGATTAATTATGGAAGTAGCACATGACCCTTAACTAGAGTGGCACTAAATAGCACTGAAATATGGCAGGAACAAAATGCAAATGGTAAGAGAATCCCACTGTGTGCAGCACTATGTGCTGGTGAAGGTATAATTTAATTTTCTTTTTTAAAATAAAAATTAGTTGAAACTTATATTATTTTAAGTTTCTACAACAGACTTGATTAATAGCTTGATTTATAATAGAATCAGCTGAAAAATGTCCCGTAATTCTGAATGTACTCGCATTTATAGGTAACTTTGCATCATTGATATCCATAGAATGAGTTCTTCAAGGGAAGTTGGTCAGTGCTGTCCAGACTGGGTTTACACACTTACACTGAAGTATGAGGCAGATATTACTAAGGGAGTGCAAAAGAAGTTGTCCATATCAACACATTTGCAGTGAGAGGAGGGATTTACTTTCTGCCATTCTCACAAATGTTGGTAATTTTTCTCTCCAAAGCATAAGACAAAGAACAGCTATCCAAATATTGGTTATGGCTCAGCAGTCAGTGGGGATTTCCACTCACAGAGGTACCAAGTCTCTGATAAATGAAGAGAGAAGCTGACAGAAGTTTTGGTTCCTTAAACAAAACTACATTGTAATATTCAATTGAGGCCAAGGAGATGGGAATACTTGAAATTTCTGCTAGGAATAGAAACTAATGGATTTAATTTCAGAACCAAGATGTCTGGAGAAACAGGTATTTCCCTTTTTGGGAAAGGCTTATGACTGGGTTCTGGTCCATGCTCTTGCTCTTGTATCTAGCACACAATGTAAAGGAGAAAGGCTGAAGTGTGCAACATGTCAGCAAGCCTCTGTATTTGAATGGCTCCTTGGGTGCTATCACTGGTAGCTGTCTACACTAGGTGCTTAAAACTTTTTCCATAGTTTAGGTGATCTGCAAACATTTTTCTATGTGCCGTTACCCTAATACTAAATCATGGTACCAGGTGTTTCAAGAGACACCTTCACTCCCTGTAGCAATATGCTTGGATTACCTCCTAACCTCTTCTGGAGCAGTATGTTCGTCTCTGGAGATGTTTTAAGGGGGCCATTTGATATTCAGAAGAAAATTTAACTTCAGTTTCAATATTAGTCAAGAAGAGGCAAGATGAGATGTAGGCATCTCACTAGTTGTAACCAAGGGCATGGCATCAGTATGAAACATCATATTTTACTGTATTTGACCATTTCCACCAATTAGTGGTGAAACAGGTTTCTAGATTAAGGGAAGGCTCATTGCATATAATTATTTTTTTGTTGCTTCAGTTTACCAGACTCCATCTGTTTCTCCACTTGTTCACTGCAGAACATCGTAGCTCTAAAACAAATCCCTTTTTTCAGGATGGAATGGTGTGATAGCTGCCGCTACCTGTTTGTTCGTCTCTCTTTTCCACTCCCACTCTTTCCTCAGGCTGTCTAACTAGACAGATTGCCCCAGGTAGGAAACCTCCCCAGTTAAAAATAGAATCAAGGCAGTGTGTTTCCACTTAATGTTTTAGCTTTGACTAAACATTCTGGTGCATTAAAGACAGTGGTTCAATAAAAATATGTGCTAAAGGGTTGTGTGTTTCAGTGGGGTTCTCAGCTCCCACATCAGCTGTATGCCATGGCTCTCTCTGCTAATAGTGAAGCTAATGGTTAATCATGATATTCCTTCATCTGACTGCTACATAGGCAGTGTCAGTGGGTACCAGTCATGGCCACTTTCCAGAGGATTAGAGTAAGTGTATGGAGTGCTACTCCATTTTTGCTTTTGCAAAAATCCTGCAAATTTCCAAAACCCTATAAAATCAGGGACCATAAAGCACTCTCCTTTTGAATGTTAACATGAATGTATTTTAGCTTTAAGGAAATGAGAAGTGATAAGAACTGGTTTTAGTTGCAGTGAGTGTTCTCTGAGACCTTTCTCAAGGGGAGTTCAGCCATTCTCTCTGTAATGAGCTTCTGTGATTCCATGTACAGTTGAGGCATACTGTGGTTTTTCTCTCCCATGTGATCTTCTCTTCACAGAGGCTGTGGATGTTGAAGAGAAGTAAGGTGACAACTGGATCCCTTTGTACACTTTATATCTGTGTGTAAAGAAGAGGTGACCTGTGTGGTCACATCTCAGCATCTCAGGGTAGATCAAGGGGCATGACTCATGCTCTCCTGTGTCTTCTGTACCTGTTATGTGAGGCTGATCCACTTTAGACTCCAACTGCTGCAACCAGACCACTTTTTAGTGCTCACTGCAGAGAGCTGTTTGCAAAGTTCATCCAGCAAAATGCTGAACAAAATGGTTCAGATCTTTGCCACTTTTTAGTCTGGGGGAAAAGAGAGAAAGGGAAAGAGAAAAATGAGAAGTAATTTGATATGGTTTAGCCAACATGTAGATACTCATCCTGGAATTTAACATTCAGGTATGATAGTATAAGACATAAATAGTTTTCAAAATTAAAATGCTTCTTATTACCAAGTAGGTCACACTTCCAACAACTGTTTCTCAATATGTAAATATAAACAGTGATTGCTTTGAAAAATATATAATTATATATTCGACAAAATGCATATTTTTTTCCCAATGCAGCACAGTTAATTTTATCTGAAAATCAGTGATTACCATTTTGGTGTTAATTATGGAGTACTAAATACATCTTCAGTGTTAACAGATAGACTCATCTCTGTTTCAGATATCGCTTGTGGCACTCACTTGTGGAATTAACTATGTTGCTTTGTGATTTTAGAGACACAAAAATAAAATTAGGAGATGTCATTGGAAATGAAGGATTAATATATTGATTAGGACCTCTGCTTTTACTTAGGCCTATATTATGGACTTTGCCCTAAGCACAGAATATATATATATATATATATATGTTTTTATTCTGGATACATGCACTTGCTTCTGTGCCTTTCTCTGTCTGCATTCCACAGATATAACACACACCTGGTAGGGAATGGTGTAGGAAATAATATGTGGTGTAAGACAGCATGAGTGGTTTCAGTAAAGGATTACATAGAGCAGAAAGCTTGCAAGTGAAAGAGTACACCAACAATCTGAAAACAGATGAGTGTTACACAGAAAAAAAAACAAGTGGATACAACCTTTCCTTTTATGCGCAGCTCATCTCATTTTATACTCCTGAATGGATCTGTGAAATGTAGAAATGCTGACAACATTTTCTCCAAGTGAGAGAGAGAAAAGTCTTACCTCCTGCTATGTGAATCATGATACAATAATCCTATGAAGGCATTCTTCCACATACCTCATTCTAAAACATTTGGGTTCAAAAATTCATTTGAGATTGATCAGAGACGATGAGTTCAGTCTAGAAGGCTTGGATATAAACACTAACTGAAGTGCTTTGCTAATTTCCTATTGTGAGGTATGACCATGTGGGCTGGAGAGGCCAGCCTAGGGTCTTTAGGAGGAGCTGCCTCAAATCTATGGATTATCCAACATTTTCATTAGTACCACTGGGGAGATTTGAATGTGGAATAATTTGCGAATGAAGAAACCAGAGAGGGGCAAAATGCATACCCAAGGAACATTAGTATTCAACTTCAGAGCAACCTCTGTGTGAGCATATATGCACTCATTGCAATATTCTGAAAATAATTGCATACATATGTATGTTAGCCCCACCCTCCAGCGGCATCAATAGGTTTAACCTCAGTTTTCTGTTGCACTGCAAATTAAGGGAAAAGACTTTATTTTGAGAGTGTTGAACACATGGCTGCCATCCAACAACTTCAGCATGGCAACCTCCCAAGAAAGTGCTCCAAGGCAGCCTAATCAGGACAGAATTCCTGGCAAAGTATGTTTTGAGACAAGGCTCTCTCTCTTTTTCCAAAGTAGAAAACTCCTTTGATGGGAAGCACATAGAGCATTTAAGAACATTCTCAGGTGCCATTTTTGCAAACTGAAAAATCAAACTCAAAAAACTGGGGAGGAAAATTGCAGGAGTCATTTTAACACTTTTCCTGCTCTAGTTGGGCAATGGAGACTAAGAAACAGCCAGCTGATTTCACTTTAGTTCTCATTTTTTCACTTCTGTCAATAGGTACAAGCTCATAACCGATTATAGAAGGTTTTAATGCTGCTCTGTAAACATGAATGATGCCTTAAACTGTATCACTAAGCTGAGCTAAATTCTGTCCTAAAGGGCCACTCAGCTTTAGTGTTCTGCTAAGAAACATTCCAAAATGCTGGTTTGGGTTTTGTGTTGGGATTTTCCCTCCCCACACGCAGTATGTTTTATTGCTTCTGTACTGCTCTTCCTGCTTTGCACACTCCAGTTCTGCTGAGTGGCTATACCCAGAGCTGTGGTTTGTGGCAAAAACGTGATGTGTTGGAGGAAAGATGGGGAAGACTCCATTAGCCAGCAATAATGTAACATCCTCAGTGTGCCAACAGGCTGCAGAGGATGGGTGTCCTGGGCTGTGGGAGCTACAGGAGCTGGCACAGCCCTTCAGGTTTTTCACTGCCTCTAACAGTGAAACAGAAGCGGCTCTAAGACACAACATCCTCCATCAGCTCTGTGAGATGTGGTTTTGGGAGGAAGGTGTGGCTTCAGATCTGCTGACATCATGGAAATGCTTCACCTCCTTCTGACTTCACAGAAAGCCAAACACATTAGACCTGCCAGAAATGTGACACTCAGGAGTAAAAAAGCTCAACCCACTGGTCAGATGAGTGAGAGGCCTCCCAGAAAGCCCAACCTGATAAATGCAGCTGAGGAACTTGAAAAATAACATGACAACATTTTGATATTAAATGTTGAGTTTGGAAGATTAATATAAATTTTCATTCCCTAGACTAATAAACCTGGTGATTTTTTCCTAAAAGAAACCCAAACATTTATTCTAAACAAGGGCATTTTCCTCCCACTTTCAGTACAGACAGCTAATTTTTGCAAATGCACAAGTACATGATTAAAACATAAAAGCAGAACACACTAGTCACCCATATGTATCCATTCTTCAATTAGAGAAGATAAAAAAAGTAAATGAAAGCATCAAGTATCTTACATTGGTAATAATTTTATCTTCCTTTATACCATACATAAGAGAGATAGGAGTGCCTGTATTTTTCAAAAAATAACACTTTTTTAAGACTCTTGTTATTTGACTCTTGTTCTCCAGGATATCATGTTCAGAAAATAGAAAAATAATATTCCAAGTGAGGAATGTAGTAAAACTTTCTATTAAAACTATATTAAACAAGTAATATTGTCATAGGTGAATCTAGATTCTTACTTTTTGTACTTTTTTTTTAAATAAAGTTCAGGCTGAACATGAGTGTTTTGTAACTGCCAGATAGCCTAGAACATTAATTCTGTCATCCAATATTCCAAGGAAATAGCTTCTTTGTGCTTAAAATATGAAAGGGCTACAGACAAACCAAACATCACAAGAGCCTGGCAGACAAAATGACCCAAGGCCATTAAAGAAGCTACAGAAGCTGCAGCTTGTAAAATTATTCCCAAAAGACAATATTACTTCTAACACCCATTGGGCTGTTAGAAGTGACACTGTTTGAAGTCCACCTTGAAAAGGAAGCAGAAGTGCATGCCTAGGCCTTGAAATAGTGGGTAAGAGCTCATGCATATGAAGTATCAACAAAGTGATGCTGTGATGAGCTCACAGGGGACTGCCCAGAGCCCTGGTGGTAGATGATGTGCAGGAGGAACCAGAGACAACAGCGGCCAGGGGTTATCAGAGCATTTCCTGCAGTTCTGTAGGAGAACAGAGGTTGAGGCAGAGGTAAATGAGCCTGGCAGGCTGGCAATTAAGGGAAAAAGCCAAGCAGGAGCCAAGGAAAGGTACAGAGAGGGAGGCAAAGCTCTGCAGACAAGCCCACTGAGGGAAATAGGAAGTGATGAGCAAAACAGGAGACAATGTATTTCTAAAAGGGGAAAAAACGGTCCTACTACAGCAATTTTCTAAGGCACCAGGTGCTGCTCTGTCTAAACTTACATCTAGACACATCTCTGATGCAACTGGGTAGTTTGGCTCATGTCCTTTCTTTCCTGTGACTCCCACAGGTTTTGAACCCTACTGTTACAGACTTTCAGGTCGAAAAATTCCAGTGGTTAAGTTAGAAATCTGTAGTCATTAGAATAATGGGAGATCCCTAGAGAGAGCCAACACTGCTATGCAGAAAATTTATTAGCAGCAGGAACAGAGGCCTGTATCAGCACTTTACTGGTGGATAAATCAGTGGGTTTGCTAATGATGTTTCGGTTCTCTTGATTGAATTGGATTTGTAAGAGAAATGCAGCTGCAGACTGAATTGCTTTATATGACAAGAGAATAATGAATAGCCAATCCTGAACACCCAGGGTTTCTGTATATATGGGATAATTTAGCTTCCGTTCTTGTTATTATTTTATATGCAAATGAAATTAT